AACTCCACCTTCATTAGTACACATAATCTTTGGATTTTTCCAATTAGTAATTTTATATTGTCCATCTTTCTTTTGAATCATTTCACATTCATCAATTCCTCCAATTTGTTGACCTCTCAATGTTTTAATAGCAGCTTCAAGTTTCTTAGTTTCAGCAGCAGCTCCTTTATGTTCAACCTTTCCTTTCATTCTTGGAGCTGACTTACCTACTTGAGTATTGGCTGATACAGTAACTGTTTTACCATTAACTGTAATCTTTTTACTTGAAGCTGTTGATGGAGCATAAGCAGTATTTAAAACAACTTGTCTACTTGTTTTGTTAGTCTTTGGCATTGATGAACAGAATTTAAAGTGAAGTAGGTTTACATTTTCTTTAAACCATTTTTTTATTATATTTTTATTATATTTAATGGTTTTTATTCATTTCAACGGTACAATTTTTTAGTTCAAATCTCATATTTATTTCTTTCTTTTCAAATGATACTTCGATCTTTTATATCAAAGGAAATAAGAAGAAAATTCAATTATACAATAATAATGCTACTGTCATAGATATATCACAATTGGTTGCAATTAGTTTTTCTTTTATTAAATCTCGACTATGTTGTTCACTTAACATTGGGTATAATCGATCTGTCAAATATTCAACGAGAGGATAACTTGATTTTGAGTATTCAAAATACTTAATTTCGAAGTCTTCTAATTGTTTCCAAAAACCCTTGTTTGGGGCAATATTTTTTTTTACTTGATACACTTTGGAATAAGCATCTTTTAAAGAGATTTTTTCATGATAAATGAGATACGCAATGACAAGAGTTGCACTTCTAGAGATTCCAGCCTGACAATGAACAAGTACCTTTTCGTTTTGAGAAAATGCGTGGTCAATGAAATCAAAACATGACTGAAAATAATTCGTAATCTGAAAATTTTCCTGGTCGTTTATGTGAAGGTGTAAATAATTAATTTCATTGGGGAAAGCGTCAGGATATTGTTCGGTTGTATTGTCATACCCACCTCGTAAATATCCAGTTGCATTAACAATATTTTTTATATTTAATTTATGTAATATTGAAATATCATTTGCAACAGCAACAGTCCCAAGATAAAGTTTTTCAGGATAGATTGCAGCACAGTCATGATTTGTATAACCTTCAATACTCATATCAACTTGTCTCTTTTAGTCTTTAGATTTTCACAATTTGTTTTTAATATTTTTATTTATTTAATATTCTAAAATAAGAGATAAGCATTTTCATTTTTTTTAGGCAAAAAGAAATAAAAATAGTTAATAATCTTAAAATAAAAGAAAAGAACTTAGAAAAAGGTATAAACTAAATGGAAGCGTTTGAAAGGCTTCATGCAACCTCATGGGAAGAGGCTAAAGAATTTGTAGATACGGGATATGTTTCTATGTCACAAGAGATGAACGCAGTAACACAAGCCGTTGAAATGGAAGTTGAACAAGGATTTGATATTATTGAGATTTTAACTGAATCATCAAAAGGAAAAGATGATAAGATTAGATTATTACAAGAACAGAAAGAATTAAATATGGATGATCCATCGTTTTCTCCTGAAAAATACTTAGCTCTTATACACAATGACACTTCATTCAATAGATTAATTAATGGACCATTGAGACTTGAAACAAAAATCCATCATAAAAATAAAGAAATTATGCATTTGGTTGAATCTCATTTTGACCAATTTATCAATTGTAAAGATACATTAGATAAAATGCAAGTCATAATTAATTCTGCCAAAGCTGAGGCTGTTAAAAATGGAGTTTATCTTAATGTTGTTATCAAAATGCAAGAAAAATATAATGAACTTCTTAATTCTTTATCTTCAATTAAACAACTTACTGATTTAAAGAATCGTGTTGATCAGTCCAGAGATGCTATTTCAGTTATTGAAAGAGCCCGTTCAGTTTTTTCTCTTCCAGCTCAATTACGATCAGCAGCAGCTAATAGGGATGATGATAGATTTGTTAATGTTTTTAATCGTGCACAAGGTTTATCAAAGGAAACAGAGATTGGGATATATCAAGATGTATTACAAGATTGTAATATTACTGCCCAAAAATTTGTTGATGAATTATTTTGCAGTATTAGTAAAATTGATTTAACAAGAAATCAATATGACCGTTGTTTAACAACATTGTTTGAAATGAAACAATTCCCAGTTATCATATTAAAAGATAATCCAGTAATCTTTTTATTAAGAAGCCATCGTGAGACATTAAAAAAAGAATATGAAAATGGTTATAAACTTATGACTGAAAAGAAAAAAGAATCACAACACGAAAAGTTCTTAGTTCAATCAATAAATATTCTTCAAACGAATAGTAAGTATGGGACAAACACCCGTGGGATGAGTAGTACTACAAGATCACTTACAACAATAAATGGGGGTAATAATGCAAATAAAACAATTGGTTTTAGTAAAAAATATCAAACAACTCATAAATTTTGTAGTAAAATGATTGAACATATTTCTAAGTTAATTGGAATTATGCAATTTTCTTCAAATAAAAAGAAGAAAGAAACTGAAGAAGATTCTAGTCAATTAAGAAAAACTACTGTACTTTTTGAAGATGGAACTGTTGTTTCTGTTTCGTATTCAAAAAATACTACTGGTACAATGTTTCTTGATTTAGCACTTACAACTTATAAATTAACACATCCAGATTTACCATTTGATTCAGAGTTTGAATTATGTAGTTTTATTGGAAAAACAACAGAAAAGGATAAAGCGGTATTAGAAAAAGCACTTAGTGAAGCAATTGTATTAGGAGAAAATGATATGCCATTTGAACTTGAAACACGATGGGCTACAGCATCTAAAGAAATTAGTCATTCCTTTTATGCAAGAGCAAAAAAAGGAGTTGTTGAAAAAGAATCTACTTCCGACAGATCAACGTATGTTGTTAAAATTATACAAGATTTTTGTGATAGTATGACAAAAATATTTGATTATCAAGAACAATATGAAGATATAGAAGAATTTAGTAATAGCAATAATTTAATTGACAAAGCTTGTCTTGAAGATATTGAAAGTGTATTGACTGCATTTACTGCACAACAAATTAGTAATAAGTTTAGTGATCCATTAAAGAAAACACATGCAGAATTAGTCACCTCATTTATTGAGCGTATTACATCACAAACAAGACAACGTATTATTAATTTAAAAAATTCTGATGAAATTTATATTAATCCAGGAAATGGTATTCTTATAGCTTTTCAAAAACTTTATACAGAAGACTTTAAAATGCTTAAAGAAATTATTCAAGCCACAGAAAATCCAGATGAACAAGTTATTAAATACTTTAGTATTGCTATTGAGGCTCTAAAAGAATTATTTAATACAGCATCAAAAGAATGTGACGAAGCATTAATTGCTCAAAAAGGAAGAGAGAATGAAACATTTGATGATAGTAATATTGAAATGAATGAATATAGACAATTAACTAAACAAAGAAAGTTATTATCATTAACTGAAAATGCACAAAACGCCTTTAGTGGACAAGTGTTATGGGATCTCTACAATTTCTCAAGTACTAAGAAAGAAGTAGTTGGTGAAAACAGTAGAGTAAAAGATATTTTAAAAGGATTTGAAGGAATTTCAGCAAATATTTTAAAATATTATATTAATGATAGGAGTGGATACTTCAATGATCTAATGAATAGAATTGATGCTAAATGGTATGAGATTTGGATTGGAGAAGATATTGATTATAAAGTTGTTGATGAATATGCCTTAAATCTCATTACTGAGCTTATTATCATTAAACAAGACCTCCACATTTATGCAATGAGCAAGGAGAGTCAATGTATGTCACAAATTGTATTGAATTTACTTAAAGCCTTTGAAGAAGTTACAAAAAAATCTACTAATGAAGTTATAGAGAAACAAACTGGTGAAAAGGAATCAACAATAGTTTGTCTTCGTTGGTTAATGGGTGCAGAGTTTATTGTCGAATCATGTAAACCTCTCATTCAAAAAGATAACGAAACACCTCAACAGATAGAAGAAGTTCTCTCAAATATGAAGAATATGATTGGTGTTGAGTCAGAAAATACTAAAAATCAGAGGGCTACAGCTGTTTTAAATACCATGAATAAATTTGAAGCTCTTATATGTTCCTTTAAACTTAGTGCTGCTGTTAATGAAGAAAAAATGGGTAAAATCACTAGGGTTCGTGATCAACAAAGAAACATTTCATATCTTGATGTTCCAATGGAAAAGAATTAGTAATAAGAGTATAGGTCATTTTTAAGTTTTTAGAAACGTAGTAAAATTTTGGTTTTTGTTTATCAATTATATAACAGTATTTATAACCATCACAAATATTTTAAAATAGAAAGTAATTAAATAAGTGTTAATAGATTGTTCATATATTCTTCCTA